CACATTTAAATCCCCCCTTTCGGCGTCGTCGATGACTTGATTGATTAACTTGAGGGAGAACAGCAGCAAGAAAGAAGTGTCCATAAAGCGCGCGCGCCCTCCATAAGTCAGACTGGGCGCAGAAACGCGCTGAAATTTCCATAAAAGTACGCTCGCGAAGACGAGGAAAAAAGGGAGGCGGCAATTACGCACGTAGCGGAAATCAAACTCTCGTTTCGCGGAAAAGCGAGCGAGCGCGCGCGGATCTATTGAAAGCGCGGTGTCGTCTGCCTTTGATGCTGCCACGCTTTTTACTCCGCCTCGGACTTATATCGAAAGTTCAATGATTGCAAAAAGTCGAGCGTGCGTGCGTGTCGCGTGGCTTTTCGTGACTTGACTTTTCGAATGTTTCGCAATAAATGGGGCGCAATTAACCGTGCATTTCCCTACCGGAAAGCGCACGGCGAATATTCCCGTCGAGCTCGAGCACCAAAGAATACAATAATCCCGTTTTAATCGAATCCTCCCGCGCGCCGATAAAAAACGACCTGGTGACAAGGTAGGACGGGCCCTTAACATTGAATAACAACGCAAAAATCAACATTCCGACCGGACCACTTTTTCCCGCCGACATTGTTCGCCGATCGTTATACGTTTGCGCTCTCTCGTGCGCAAAAACCAAACGCACCAGCAGCAGCAGCAGCAGCAACAGCAAATCCCGCCTCAGGCCCTTCGGTAGCCCGCGTGGCTGTCTACCTTCCCTCTTTCTTTCGTTTTTTCTTTTCTTCTTTTGGCGCAGCGCACAGCTATATGAGCGAGAGCGATATTCCGCTTGAGGCGGAGCTGCTGCTGCTGCCGCCGCCGCCGCCGCCGTCGCAGCCGCTCGTTTATGAGGGAGGAGGAGAGAGATGGTAGCGAGAAGCAGCCTACGCAAGAGCGTCTCTCTCGCTCCTGGCGCACGAGCGCAGATTATATTTGATGGTACTTATTTTGGTGATGTTTAGGGAACTTCTAAGGTGTCTCGTTCCTTTTAATTTTTCCTTTTCTCTGTCTTCTTTTTAAAGATGTAGTTTGATTTTCCGAAGACCGTTGCCAGGCGTCATTTTATTATCGAGCGATGAAATATTGTACTTCTCATTCGAAAATGTAAATTCGCAGCCAACAAGCGATAATTACAAAAACAAAAGGAAATCAAGAATGAAACGGCGTCATTAGGAAGCGAAAACGAACAGCGAGAAAGAGAGAGAGAGAGAGAGAGAGAGAGCCGTTGATTATTTCGCGAGAAAGAACCGACTCATCTCTCTGGAAGCCTCCGCGTGTGCTCGCGCTTCTTCGCGGTATACCTATAGTATGTCGCTGCCACCGCCTTCAGCGATGCCGCCCCACCTACGCGCTCGCATTTCTTCTCTCAACCTGTTCAGCTTCTCCGCTGTAGAGAATATGCGCAGGTGCCTCGCGCGTTCCTTTTCCTTGCCCTCGCCGTGCGTTTAATATTTGAAATTCGTGATATTTCGAATAAAAAGGGGATTCAATTAAGATATCCGAGCGCAAAAATATATTTAAGGCTAGAAAACAACAAGACAGTCAAAAGCCGGTTCCGTTCACTTCAGGTGTGCAAGTAGGTCAGTCTCTCTCTCTCTTTCTCTCCCTCCCTCCCTCCCAGTGTAGTTGAATATTCGGTGCTAGAAATACGCAGCTAATTGCCGGAAAGCATTCAAAATTAGATACGTCTCGTTAACAAGTACATATACTCTCCATAAATTCGTCGCTCGTATTGACAAAAAAAACATCATATTATTTTTGTTACTTTGTTTTCTTTTTTTATTACAACTCTCCCACGACTGTAATTCAAAGGTAACTAAATGCGAAAAAAATTGCCGGTAATTGGCTTGTTGGGTTATCTCGATAAATGTCGCATATATATATGAATAAACCAACCACCAACCTATCTAATTTGCGAATTACCCGGCTGTAATTACGCGATCCGCGCGAAGAGAAAAAATCTTGACAAGAGCGTGTCGATTGTACGGTGGTTGTGTAAACGTCCCGAAGGGTTATGTCGTAATTTTTTTTCTTTTCGCGTGCGTACCGTCGTATACAGTGAATTTCCGAAAAAAAGAAAAATTTCCAGAGTACCCTGCAAAAATTTCATTCTCAATCGGCAAGTTCATACGCGTCCGCAAGATTCGAAGGATGTAAATGACGGTAAAAAAATGAGACGACGGCATTCGCGACTTCGCTCCTTATCGAAACGCTTGACGACTAGCTCGGTAGATCCCGTCACCCACGCACACAGTCACTCTCGATCGGCAGGTCGGTGATTACCTTGGCCGCAACTTGGCATTTTTGGCATCCTGCAAACACATACGCGCAGCCATAAAGCTCACCGCGAGCGCGCTCCATTTACCAATTACGTGCGCGCAGCGGCGCATCGGTCTCTTTGCCTTTCTCGATCGATTCTCCAATGATCCGCGTGATTCTTCGATACGCACGCGCAGAATCGTTCCTACCTGTATATACACGCCGATATCTTCCAATTAGGTCTTCTCATTTTTTTACTTCAATTTGTACATCTAGTGTCGTTTAATTTGAAACTATTCATGGTTTGCAAAATTAGCTTGCGGGCCATAGATCAACTGAAACGGCGATAAATCCACTCGGGCTGACATATCGATCTTCGTGAGCTCACCATACTTAGAAAGAAGAATTCTCGGGGTTTTTTTTCTTTTTCTTGTCGCCTCATAGATCAACCATGCCTATAGCGGAAAAGCCTCGCGCGCGCATGAATTTTCACGGCTGCCGATGTCCGAACGAGATATCGAGAGGCTACTGTTCCTTCTTTCTCTCTCTCGTTGACGTTCTCCCGCGTACGGACGCTTTTCGGTATAAATAACTATGTTGCGTTTATTGCCTGTAACGCGAGATTTTCAATAACTAAACGCGCGCAAACTTGTAACCTAATGCTCCCACTGGACAATACTCATAACTATGATAAATGCGCTCGTGAAAAAGTAAAGTTGCAATTTATCCCATCTCTCGTTACGGAAGGCTAAAACCAACTTTCGCCCCATATTCCCGGCCGCGTGAAAACGCAGCGCATAACAGATCGATGCGGTTGGTTACTCGCTCGCGCATTAGGAGAAATTCAATCCGGTGAATTTTTTAACCGGCACCTATCGCAATTTCCGGTGCCCTCCGTCTCGTCGCCGTGTGTGTGCATATAACACGCGTGCGCGCGCGCCTTCTCTCTGTGTTTCTCTATCTAATAACCGGGAGAACGGCCATTAACTGCTCCAATGATCTCGTAACGTTTGTGTGGCTACCACGGGAGGAAATTGCAAGTAACACACACGTGCCTCCCACGTTTATATGAATGATTACGGCCCGGGGTGCATAGTAGCGGCAGTGTGCCCGTGTGCACTTTTTTGCGGTGAGGAAGTTGTTTATTGCCCCAGCAGCGGCACCGTCACTTTCGATTTCTTGCGCACTACCGCAGCTGAGATTTTTTCTTTTTCGAGATACGTTATCTAGTGCAAAAAAATTTTATTGTTTGGTTATGTAAGTCTCGCAGAGAACCGTTGGCAATTGGCCAATCGCACAAATTAATTTGCAATTAAACGTTATTAAAACTTAAAGGGATTATATTGAATCTATACAGACAATCAATTTCTGCACAATGGCCTGCGAGTCGCACGTTTTTTCCTCTCGGCGAACGCGCGGCAATTTGTCTCCATCTACGTTATCACTTGACAAGCTCCACAATTCATATGAACAGGCGTACAATGAAAGGCACGTATCGATGTGTATCGACGCGAAAAAACTTTTTTCCTTATTGGCACCTGCTTCACGACAACCTTTCGAATGTATGTGTCGCGCATTTCGGCTCACGATATATCTCGATGCTCGTTTTTTCTCTTTTCACTCGTTGCGCGTGCAAAGAAAAAGTTATTAAATAACTCTGTTATCTGTTAATTATACAGCTATGTGCGCTATAATAAATAATTCATTCAATGGCTGCTCTCTCGGATTGATTATTTTTCAGCACGCGTTGATTTACAGCGAAATTTATGTTTTTATGATTTTTTCTTAAGACCGATTGTAAAACCAATAACCTGCCTGCAGTGCATTAAATCAATAATCTCTTCTCCACGCGCGCAAAAGGGCAAATTATAATCTGTAATTGTTTAACGCAATGACGAGTTTCAATAGACTATGTTGTAACGTATAAAAAAGAAAATGCGTTACATGAGGTCGCGTGTGCATGCCTAAATTACAGGCTTGAGATTTATAATTCAGAAGAAGAGAGTGAGAATAATGAAAACGGATTTCGGCTCATTACTCACCATTAAATTGAATGCGTCGCGTCGCGCCGCGCAAAAGACTTGAACGAATCGAATTATTTATCGCCGCGTGCTTTTGTGCGCAAGCGAGAAATTGTACAAGAGGTCTCTGTCGGCGGCGGCGTGGGTGAGAATTCGCTTTTTTTGCCCGCCGTTGTTCGCGGAGAGAAAGGAATTTTAAATATCACAGTGCGCAAGGTTATGTTTATAAATTGCGAATTTGTAATTTTTAATTCATCTTATAAGGAGAAGAAGATTTACATATCACACAGCTGCATAGTGTGTAATACGTGACCAGAAATCGTAATATCGTCGACATTCTTTTCTTGTCTCGTATCGCCGTGGGTGGGTTGCGTGAACCTGCCGTCGTCACGTCTCTTCTCTCTCGAGAGAGAATATAATCTCACGTTCGCACATTTCTCAAAACGTTCCTCTCCTCTCGATGATAAGCCGACGTGTGATTGGAAACTTTTACATTCTTCTCGATGCGATTGACTTATTCGTAAGTTTTCTCAGCGACAATAAATTTTTTTTTAAGCGAACGCTCCTTCATAATTGAGGTTATATTTTCGTTTTTGCGCTCCACGCGATAAATAATAAATTAAAGTACATAATAAGCGCACATTCTTGCTGGAAAAGTACAAAGGACTAACCTCAATCGTAATTTGGTTATATTTACAGGAGGACACAACCGGCAGTACGGTGGTAGCCGAGGCGGGTAGAGTCGTAGCCGAGGGGGGCCCAGGCGGCGGGTGCCGCGCCACCTCGATGACGATGGCGGAGAGCGCGCTGGAGGACTCGGCCCAAGCCGCACCGCCGGGCCCGGCCAAGCCACCACCCACCTGTACCAACAACAACACCCTCGCCGCTACGGCAAATCGCAACCAGCAGACGCAGCAAGGGCAGCAACAGCAGCAACAGCCAGCTGCGGCAGCCGCACCGATACGCAAACGCAAGCGACTGTCTCAGGTGGTAGACAAACTCCAAAAGACGAGCAAGCGTTGCGACAGTAACAGCGAGGAGGAGGACGTATTCCTAGCCACGTCGTCGTCACCAAGTCCATCCAGCGACAATACCGTCAAGTCATCGTCCAAGCATCACAGTCATCTTCACAATCACGAGAATCATCGGAACAACAATCATCATCATCATCAGCAGCAGCAAGTTCCAGCGCCGATTTACAGCGGCTGCAGCTGCATGCACTGCTCGTCGTCGCCGATGTTACCGACATCGCCGCTGACACCGCTGACGCCGTTGAGTTTCGCAACACCGGTGTCGCCGTCGTCGTTCAGCTTCGAACATTATCTGCATACTAAGTACCTGCCCTTGTCGCGTAGCCACTCCGACTCGGACGAGCCATGGGATCACCAGCAAACACGCCAGCGGCAACCGAATAGTCGACAGGTTTACTTGCCAAGAAGTGGCAGCCTCGAATCAGACTCGACGGCAAGTCCGCAAGATTCCCCGTTGGACCTGTCGATGAAGGGTTTGTTAGCAGCCGTGAGACCTCCGGCGTTACAGCTTCTACCTCCGGGTTTGGTGTCGAGAGGCTCGGTAAGCGTGCCGGTCGTCAGAGGTGACGTAGCTTCTCCGACGACCAAGGAAAGCGTCGCTGTTCGTTACAATCTGGACGTGTCGCCGGTGGTCGAGGAAATGCCTCCCGGTGCTGATTTGGCCTACGTATGTCCTGTGTGCGGTCAGATGTTCAGTCTACACGACCGACTGGCGAAACACATGGCGTCCAGGCATCGGAGACAAAACTCGCAAGACACTCAGACCAAGGCGTATCTTTGCGATGTTTGTAAACGTAGCTTTGCTAGGTCAGACATGTTGACGAGGCACATGAGGTTGCATACCGGCGTTAAACCGTACACTTGCCGGACGTGCGGTCAAGTATTTAGCAGATCTGATCACTTGAGCACTCATCAGCGAACGCACACCGGTGAGAAACCGTACAAGTGTCCGCAGTGCATCTACGCAGCGTGTCGCAGGGATATGATCACCAGGCATATGAGGACACACTCCAGGTACGCGCACTCGACCAAGCAAGAGCTCAAAGCCGAGTTGCCCGACAGCCCGACGAGTTTGCCGATGATCAAGCAGGAATGACGATTACCCGCTGGATGATCCGCCGAACGACAGCGAATCTCGAGATCAGTATTATCGGTGTCACTTTGCCGATCATTTTCCGAAGGAAAAACGAAGATAAGATGTTCTTCGGTCGGTTGAAAAAACAAGCTCTCTCATGTTGATTGTAACTAGGTGCTTTGTACAGAATATTATTACGTGTTTGACACAGTACATACACTTAACACTTACTTACACACACAAATGTGCCAAATTTTTAAATGAAGGTCAGTGATCGTCAATTCGCGCAACTTACTCGACACAGCGCAGCAGACTGTGGGCGGCAGGACTGAAAGAAAATAAAGTCGATATTCTTTTGCTCTCTAAATAAAATTGAATTTAACTTATTTATTTTTTTTCGTTCTTGTTTTTTTTACTCGCGACGCGCGTTAAACGCGATGTAAACTCTTTATTTATTTGATATATATTTGTAGTTAATATGGATTTGTGACGATTTTTTTTTTCTTCCCTTCAAGACGAGAACAAATTCAAATAACGTTGGTTGTTTATTTTTTCTTTTGTAAGTTCGACGATATAATTCGATGATCTTTTCTCTCATCTCTTCTATTTTTATGTTTTTTCTTCGTTGGAAACATACGAACATGTACCTGCGCGAAGATTGACTGTAGGAAAAACATTAAGTTTGAAAAATCAGTTGGACCGAGCGTTTCCTTTTTTTTTTTGTTAAATGAGCGGAAGTTAGATTTTTTGTAGCATTATTATTATAATTTTAGTCGATAATTAAGCTCTATCGTTGATGTTGTTTGTAACGACAAATGCTGAACAGCAAAGGAGGAAAACTTGTGAAGGTTACCCCTACTAATTGAAAAATTGAATTATTTGTTTTGTTTGTCGACGATAATAATGTTCGGTCGCAGGTAGGCCGTGAACTACAAAAGAAAATTATTTGTGAAATCGCGGACCAAGCAAATAAAATAAAAACACAAAAACGGAATAAAATCTCATGCATCCACTCCCATTTTGTCTATTAGAATGTAATAATTCCTCACGAGTCTCCGCGCGACTATTTAACGGAAGGTTTGAACTGAAAGTTCACTCTCGTGTTTATTCACATAATATAGTCGAATCTCTCTAACTGTATATTTTTGTACAGCACGTTTTTCTAGTACGTACTTTAAACGTTAAGTGTTTGAATATAAATAATAAAGAGAAAAAAAAACGACGCACCAAGTGATAGGTCGTTGTTTTTTAATTTGCCAAGTACTTACTTCTGCTCTCTTTCTTGTATGATATCTACACGAAGACAATGCTTGCCACTCAACTTGCCTATTTATTTTATTTTCATTCTTTCATCGGACAAAGTATTTTTGCAAGCAAGAACTACCACATGCGTAAATAAAAAAAATGTTATTTCTTCGTTGTCATTATACTTTTTCTCCTATATTTTGTTTGCTAAATTTTCTTCGTATGTGCGTTGAGCTTGCGTTTTTCTTTGTAATTATCATCTTGACACTTAGTCCCTTCACGAGCACGCTAGTGACGTAATTATCACTATTTTTATTATAAGTTATTACTTTTATTATTATTATTATATTATTATTATTATATTATCATTATTATTATTACTTAGTTACGTTATTAATCATGTTTAATGCTTCTATTATTTATTTTGTTATCCCGTTTGAGAACAAACAAACAATTAAAAAAATCGAAGTCATAAGTGCAACTGATCTAAGGAGCAAAAATAGTAAACCAGCATAAGTTTACTATAGAAAATGAACAAAACAGTTAAAATGTAAACGTATGTAAACGTTAAAATGTAAATGTATCTCTCTCTGAATCTTCACACGAATATAAAATGAAAAAATGAAGTCTCCTATCGTAGTGTCTTTTATTATTTTTTATTATTACTTAACAAATAAAAATGCGCGCGCGGTTATTGCATTTACGTCGTTGTTCATCGTGTACAATCAAGTTCCTTGCTAATCTCCGTATATACATAAACAAAGCGATGCACGTCGAAGTGATTGAGTGCGCGCTGAAGACACACGTCGGAGAGAGAGAGCGAGAGAGAGAGAGAGAGAGAGAGAGAGAGAGAGAGAGAGAGAGAGAGAGAGAGAAGAAAGAGAGAGAATGGTAAAGTCGACAAATGAGCGAATGAGAGAGAGAGAGAGAAAACTTATAATATGAGCACAAAGAGAAAGAAAATCTCAAATGCTTTTGTAAATTATTAATATTGTCTACGATGCGTAAGGATTTATTTATAAAGAGACGAAAAAGAAAATTATGTTGTGTCGCAGCAACATGTGCCAGATTTGAAAATATAATTTTTTTAATTGAATTCTTTCTGTTTTTTAATTTTTTCATTAAGCTTGTCTTTCGTTCATCCCGCATGCCTTATCCTTTTCTTTCATCATATCATCTCTTTTTTTATTTTATTTATTCAGTTATAATTTGTTTGATAATGAAAAATGGAGAAATAGGAACATCGTGCCTTGAATAAAGACGAATTATAGACTTACATGGTGCATCGAACCGTCGTATGGGACATATCACTGTTGTTGAAGAAAAATATAAATAAAGTGTGCAACATATTCATTGCATTAACAATTTGTCATGATGGTAATGGAAACCATTTAAAAAAAATAATTATATAACCTAGTCAATATGTTACAGAAAAAAACACATGTCTATAAAATGATGATAAAAATAATGATGTTTCGGTTGCTATATATTATAGTTTCTGTCATGTCTATCAAACTGAGAAATTTTTAGCGCTGTATCTATGTATATCCATGACTCAAAGTCATATTGTACATAAATGTATACTGTAGGAGAGACTGAAAAAAATGGAAGCTTGGCGAAACGATGTTGTATCCAAAAATGACTTTGCCACTGAAATGTGATAAATATAACTAGACTATTTCAAAATTGAAATTCAAAATTTAATCAAGTCTAGCTCTTTGTTAAAATAATTGTTCTAATTCGCTTATTACATTGTTACTAAATACCAAGTATCCTCCATTTTCCAACAAACGTTACTTACATTATTAGAAGAAAATGTTTTACTGCAACACAGTTGAACGAAAATTGTTAATTTTTTACTTATTATATTTTCATTACTGTATTCAGATTATATAGTTTTTCTTAAATAATGATGAATGAAAACTGAATGTCCAGTGGCCGAAGGTTTTTACACGATCAGAATTTTTATTGAGTGCTGATATATTGCCCTCATATTTAAGAAACAAGATTAGAAGAAATATATTTTCTCAATAGTATCAAGTTTTAGTAACTTTGAAACTGAGTAAAATTTTGAAATATTGTTAGCCATTCCAGCTTTACTCGAAAATTTCGATGGGTTCAAAGCTACAAGCATATGAATCGACTTTTCATGTCTTTCGTATGAAGTCAACTGCAAAATTTTAAGTCTTGATATATTTATACCACCTCAAAATTATCAGAAAACCATCGTGTACTAATTTGATCGAGAAAACTATTTTTAACAAATTCTAATTTTTGATAAAATTTCTAATATAAAATAAGCATAGATACTATATATGTATTGCCGAAGCTGTTAAGAAACGAATTCGTAGCAACTATTGTAACACACACAGACACACGCGCGAGTATTAGGCGCAGCTAGATAAGCATAGTCTCTCCTGCACATTACACGCAATGGCAAGCTAAAAACGTAATAAAAAAGGTAGAAAAGATAGAATCAACATATGCGTTTATTGTAAGTGTCATGCACCGTTATTCGCCCACTGATCATCGACAATAAGCGTGGAGTAATGTGCACGCATGCGTTCCCTCGATGCGGGCAAAAATTGCATAGTACGTGTGCGGTTTTGTTCGAAAGAAAGGCATTAAATATTACCCGGACTGAAATTTTTAAAGTTGGCAGACATTGCGAATTTTCGACGTGCGGCAGTTGTAAACTGCATCATAGAAAGTGATGCAGCGAGTGATATAACAATTAAATGTACGATGTATGTACAAATAGCGATAAATATAAATATACACGGTTGTACGGTGTCTCCAATTGAGAAAAAAATATTAGATATATTGGCGTAGCACCTGTAGAACGTGTGTAATAGCAAAAGATAAATATAAAGTACCAATAAGTATAATAGTATCCTAACTTGATCTGTTTCTTTTCGTCAGAACGATAAACAATACGGCACAATTCTCATTTACACTACAAGTAATCCAATCACTTGACAGCGTGAACTACGAAACGTTTGCTACTTACATTGTTTTGATAAGAAAATTGGCAATTCATGTATAATGTTACAGTGACACGATATTATACATTTACGTTTGGTTGTGATTTTAAAATATATGATACATACGTAATAATATAGCAGTATGCGGATGACGCATTTAAAAGAAAAAGTAACCGTCAAGAATATTCCCTGTAAACACTGTGCATATCCCTCTTTTTCAAAAAAGAGCGGATCATTGTTTATACTTGTTCTATCCTGTGAATAATAAATTACAAAAAATTATGTATATTGCGTCTCCTAAACGAGATGAACATAACAAAAATATATTTGGAAAAATGAGATGATTGCGTTGTTCATTCCGCGTTGAAATTCCTTGTCCTTGTGATTTTCTGTTGTATTTTGCCGTTATTAACATTTTGATGCTAATTTATATAACTTTTAATTTTAATTAATAATATCTCGGAGTGAAAAAAAGATTTAATTTCCTGATTAATCCTTATTATCATTTAAATATCTCACGTATGCAAAACCTGCTACAGAAGCAGCAACAGCCATCAGAATGAATAACACATAAATCCTGGTATAAAGACTGTCATGTTCCGAGCGACTTCATTCAAAACGGAAAACGCCGTCGTAGCTGCAGGAACGGTTATCGAGCTGAAAAGGCAAGAATAATCCCTCGTAACTTATTCAACTGCAGAGACGATGATCGAGTTACTCGATAAGGCGTCGTCGTCGAATCGGTTGCTGCCTATGCTACAACCACTCACCTTTCGACCTGAGAAACAACGGGGGGCCAATTTCACTAATGCCATTTTCGTCTCGTAAATTTGGATTCTTAGCAACGCAAATCATGTTTTTTATCGCCAGACAGTATTTACCGACTTGATGAAGTGTCGTTGAAATTCAAATACTGAAGGTAAATTGCTGGATCTTTTTTTTTAATTTTTCGACGATCTTTTGATATGCAGTAGTTACTTGGTTATCAGCGTGACTACTGCTGTTTCCAAAAATACTCCAATATAAATAATTGATAAACTTCAAGAACATACCACTACGAGTATATTACTCGTCATTTAGATCTTAACGCGAATCCTGATTATCTTACAAACTTTGTTCGTTCGCTTTGTACAGTAGTTTAAATATTTTAACCTCCGATCGTAAAAGTAGAAGCAATATACAGTTATCTAACACCGCCGCTGGCCCAATACATAAATGTTTGCATGTCCAATTTATGCGAAATCAAATGTCAAAAACTCTGACACATTTATTCTAAAAAACGAATATAGTATATTCAACCAAATAGTAGAGAGATCGTTCACCCGAGACTGATACAATTATACGATGGGGTCGCAACGGCGGCGGTGGAGTCGGCATGAAAACGTAGATATATGCAAATTGGTTTAGCCAAGCGGATCGATGGAATTAAGTTCACTCGGTTATCGTAGAATGAGGATATCTGATTTTTCAAGTAGCTCTGTGATTTTCTCTGAAAACCAAGTTATATTCGAGACTTTTATTGCTTCATCCGCAAGCAAGATAAAAGAAAAATCGATCGGAGAATAAAAAGTACAGTTTAATTATCGCGAAGGCATGTAACAGTCAGCAGCGAGCAGCAATAAATAAGACGAGCTTTTTATCAATGCGGCACTCCCTAGTCTACCCATTGTTTCCGCAAAACTGTAATAGCTAAAATCTAAGCGTATGTTAACATTATCGTCACACTCTCTCTCGTGATTACGCGAACGTGCGTTGACGTGCTTCTGTACAACATTTTACCTGAATACACACAACTTTCTTTATCGTCGTGTGGTCTTTTCGCGTACGGCACTGCGCGGTCTATATCTACGAGTATATCGCTCGAGGCGTATGAAAAGACGCGACGAAAGATGAAAAACCAAGCACCGGGCAACGCTCGTTGTTTGTCGAGCGTAATGAAACAGACGAAGACTCGAAAAAGTAATCAGCCGATGCACGAAAATAATGGATATTTTGGATCAGGCAGAAAAAGTACGTTGACGATAAATAGTGGCTGGCTAGTAATTAATAGGAATTGGCAATGCTTGTTGGGTATATAGCCAAACCAAGATTGCACTGGCAAACGTGTCAGCGCGAGAGATCGAAAGCTCGATAAATAACTCCTGTACACTGGGTATAAATACTCATCCTCTCGCTCAGCAAAATCAATTCCTCCCACAGGAAATGTGGCACACGCGCGCGCGCGCGCGCGAGCGACTGACCCGCGGCACTATTCATCCAAAGGGCGACAGATCTGCTTTAGCAACTCTCCCAGAATTTTATAATCCATATGGCTCTCGTGGCTCTCGAGGAATCTCACATATGCCCGTTGTTGCGTACGTACCACCGACGCATCACTAGGCATAACTTACGACCACGTGCAGCCTTTTCTTTCTCTCTCTCGGCTCGGACGCTTATAATGCAAGCCGCGCGCTCCACCGCTGTTTAAGTTAAACGGCCGCAGCTTCAACAGGTTAATTATAAGCTGGAGAAACTAGACGTTCTTTTTTTTTTTCAGCCTCGTAAAATAACGTAGACGAAGTTTTCTTCTCAATCCGCCGTATGAAGATTTCAGGTTGTTAGCTGCGGCGAATTCCTGATCTGATTAATTGATTTGCAACACGCGCGTGACCCGCTGACATTGCTAAATTCATGTATTTCATCGATTGTAGCACTGGATCAAGAATTTTTAATCGTGAAATGTTTAAATTACATATTGGTTTTCAGCAATTGCTTGTTACATATTTAGATTTTTTTCTACTACGCATTTGTGACGTCATCATTATTGTATGTTATCACGATTATGAAATTGATAAGGTTCAAAGCTCTTGTACTAAAAATAGACGGGATTTATCAGTTAATTATACAGTGAAATACAAGGTTTTTAATATTTTCCTCAAAGACGACTATATAATAGAGACACCTAACTATCGGGGTTG